CCATGAATACAGAGTGCAGGGAGAAGCTCAATGATTTAGACTGTAAAACTGCAAGGTTATCTTAAGTCTCTGTGAGCCCTGAAAGTCAGGAAGTGCGAGCGCTTCCATTCTGTCCCTGCTGATGTAATGATAAAACCACTGAGGCGTTTCATTACTGCCACGCCACTTGGTGCTTTAATGTCATTGACACTCCAACATCCTTTACAGTATCCATCTCTCAGCAACTCAAATAAGGATGCTCCCTCTGTCCTCTCACTTGGTGGTGGTCATGAGTAAATAAATTGGTTTTTCTAGGCAAGGAACTTCAAATTGAACGATTTGCTCTTGCTCAGCACTGACTAAATGACTCCGTCGTCATTGATCCATTGACACGGCATGTCATCTCAGATCGCCTTGATTGTCCATTTCCCTAATGTTTGCCCAATGGCCTGGACACAGGGATGAACTCCAGGGCGCTGCGACTTTGTCGATTTTTAAACTTTTTTTCCAGCTCCCTGATTTTGTGTTCTTCAGAGAAAAGCTTTTAACTTTCATCCTTTATTACCGTTATCAAAAGATGATAGCGCCATTCTCTTTGTCAGCTAGACAGCGATTCTCGAAAAAGAACAATATTCCTCCTTAGTAATAATACCGGTCTCCTGTACATAGCTGCTGTTCAAACCACTGAGAATAACCTGAAAGAACCAGACAAACTCGCAACTCAACTTTAATTTAAAGACTGATTTGCGAGTTAATTTGTCTGAGTAATTCTGACAGCTTTGATTTGAGGTAATGGAGCACAATTAGGTGTAATTGTTAAGTAATTATTTTTAAAAGGCTGATTTAATTGTATTTTTTTTCAGTTTTAATGTGCTCTGTTCATACTACACTTTGAATTGGCTATGATACAAACAGCTACAAACAATAACTGACAGACTTGATGCATGAGAGGTTTCTATAAAAGTAAAAATGGAAAGTTGTAATTGTATGTTTGAATAAAAATCATAATTGAATTAAATAATTATTTACATCGCCACTTTAAAGAAATGAAAATAACAGAGGGAGTGGAGGAAGAAGCATGTGTCATACAGTATCTTGAAATACAAATTGGTAATAAAAGGCTTGCTGTTCAGACTGGGGAAACTGCATGACGCAGGATCATTAACATTTTCCTGTGTTTCATTTTAACCTCTCTATTTGTACTTAATTTACAGCATAATACACATAAAGGTCTGATTAAAAAAATGCAAATGAAAGTATTTACAAATTTGAGAAGTTTGAACAAATGTACTACTACTTAGACAATACTTTGACTATAATTATTCTGGTTACAAATCTGATGTAGCCTTGCAAGAGAAAATGCTACTACTGAACATTTAGCAACTGAACCTCAGCTAAGCTTAATAAATGCATTGAGGTTTTACAATGAGTTAAGTACCTTAATCAAGCTCTATTATTATTGCCTTATTTAGCCATATTCAAGCATTTTAATATGTTATTGACAGGTTCAGGGCCCTTTCTAATGTGTCTCTCTCTAAGTAAGTCATCAATTCAGACCATTGATACTATATACATGTATGTTGATTGACTACATGTAATACTGATTGGCTGCGAGTCAATGTGGCTCCGAATCCATGAGACACGAACCACCAAGATTACAGCAGAGTGTTCCTTTAAGCACCAGCCAGAGAATCAGATATAATTAGGATCGACAGTCCAACTGCCCACATGGGGTCTCTGACATCCTGTTCATTATGAGCTGCCCTGTTATGATTGTCCATCGAGTACATCTGCTTTGATTGTATCCCTCCTACCCACACACACACTGAGCAGAAATTCAAAGCGTGCTTCATACTTTTTCATCAAATAAGGCTGGACATTTGTGAATACTGAATAATAATGAATCCAAAGAGGCAGCACAGGCAATGTAGAAAATATTTAATTGTTTGGACTCAGATCACCTAGTCACCAGGTGGAGCTAAAATGCTGTATATCAGAGTGGCTCCTCCGAGGAAATAAGTTCCATCAACCAAAGTCAACTTAATTAATTATTATTTGATTATCTTTACCGGCAGGCCTCCATAAAGCATAGCACAGGTGATGTGTTGAAAATGAGAAGCATCTAAACAGAAACTGAGAATAGGGATCAATTTGAGGAGAAAAATAAAATGAACACATCAGATCTTTGACTTAGCCGTCTGTATTTCACCATCAGCTCTGGAAAGTGAGTAGCCTACTAATGTCAACCTCACTTCAAATGGTTCCTTTGATGCTTAACATCAGCCTTGACTCATTGGTTGCAAGCTTCTCCACAGATATATCCATTAAATCAAAATATAACAACTGAAACAAATAGAAAATTAGTGACAAGGTGTATTCAAGCCTTTTTGAATGAGGATACATTTATTATTGCAGAGTCTTACCCTGAAGCTGATATGAATAAAGATACACGTCAACATGGCACAACAGATAACACCACTAACAGTAGTGCAAATGAACACAGTAGGGATAGCTCATCAATTCAACATTTAAAGTGAAGCCTGTTCCTGCCGGTTGCCTGTGGAGGACGTGGATGGACAGGAGAATAAATGCGCATTTATATCTGTTTTGTGAACACTTAGGTTTATTTTTGTTTCTGCCTGAGGGGAGAGGATCACATTCAGGAGGAATATATTACATGAGAGGGATCTGAAATTAACACTTTTTAAAAAAATGCACCGAACAGGAAGATCATACCTGTTTCTAAACCGCTCAATGTCACGTACAATGATATATTATTACTTGATCACAACATTTGAATATACACGTCATATGTATATATACAGGACTGTCTCAGAAAATTAGAATATTGTGATAAAGTTCTTTATTTTCTGTAATGCAATTAAAAAAACAAAAATGTCATACATTCTGGATTCATTACAAATCAACTGAAATATTGCAAGACCTTTTATTATTTTAATATTGCTGATTATGGCATACAGCTTAAGAAAACTCAAAAATCCTATCTCAAAAAATTAGAATAGTTCCTCAGACCAAGTAAAAAAAAAAGATTTATAACAGCAAAACACAATCAAACATTTGAAAATGTCCATTAATGCACTCAGTACTTGGTTGGGAATCCTTTTGCACGGATTACTGCATCAATGCGGCGTGGCATGGAGGCAATCAGCCTGTGGCATTGCTGAGGTGTTATGGATGCCCAGGATGCTTCAATAGCGGCCTTTAGCTCATTAGCATTGTTGGGTCTGGTGTCTTTCAGCTTCTTCTTCACAATACCCCACATATTCTCTATGGGGTTCAGGTCAGGGGAATTTGCAGGCCAATCGAGGACAGTAATGCCATGGTCAGTACACCAGTTACTGGTGGTTTTGGCACTGTGGGCAGGTGCCAGATCATGCTGGAAAATGAATTCCTCATCTCCATAGAGCTTTTCAGCAGACGGAAGCATGTAGTGCTCTAAAATCTCTTGGTACACAGCTGCATTTACTCTGGGCTTGATGAAACACAGTGGACCAACACCAGCCCAGCAGCTGACATGGCTCCCCAAACCATCGCTGACTGTGGGAACTTCACACTGGATTTCAAGCAACTTGGATTTTGCTCCTCTCCAGCCTTTCTCCAGACTCTGGCGCCTTGACTTCCAAATGAAATACAAAACTTGCTTTCGTCTGAAAAGAGGACTTTGGACCACTGTGCAACTGTCCAGTGCTTCTTTTCCTTTAGTCCCAAGTCAGACGCCTCTTCCGTTGTCTTGAGTTCAGAAGTGGCTTGACCATGGGAATACGGCTATTGTAGCCCATTCCCGGACACGTCTGTGAACAGTGACTTTTGATACCTGGACTCCAGCTTCAGTCCACTGTCTTTGAAGCTCCCCCAAATTCTGGAAGCGACTCTTCTTCACAATGCTGTTAAGGCTGCGGTCATCTCTCTTGGTTGTGCAGCGTTTCCTGCCACATTTCCCCCTTCCAACAGACTTTTTGTGGATGTGCTTTGAAACTGCACTCTGTGAACAGCTTGCTCTTTGAGAAATTTCTTTTTGTGTCTTACAATTTAAAATAAAAAAAATAA